AGTGACCATCATGATGTCACCGACAACAACCAGAGCTCTTATTCATTGACAGCCGGTTTTCTCCAGCAGGATAATCACAGCAAGATCCAACTCACAAGGAAGGAAGATCACAATTATCCGATGATACGCACAGTGCTACAAACAACGCGGAATAAGACAAGAAGGAAGATTTCTATAGACAAGAGCACCAAGTGGTGATATCAAAATCCTCATGGGCGATATGAATGCCAGCTGAACTGGGAGCAGACAATGCAGGAAGAGGACTCATCATGGGCCCGAGAAGCTCTCGGCCAAATGACGAATGAGAACGGAGAACTCTTCTCAGACTTCTACGCATTCGATAATTTGGTGGTTGGAGGTGGCGTCTACAAGCACAAGGATAAACACAAGGCGACAGGGATTTCACACAACGGAAAAACCGAAAATCAGGTAGTCCTCTGCTCAATGCTGCTCAAGTCAGTGGACACACAGCCTGATCGATACAATGTCGGAAAGGAAGACATATGTGGGCTTAGATCATTATCTTAGTGCAAGCAACCTTCAGCGTGAAGCTGAAATCCCTCAAAACAGCTGGAGACAGGCCACTGTAATTCAAGTTCAACATTCAGATACTGAAGGACAAAACTACAAGGGAAACGTTCACTACAGCCATCAGATCAGAGCAAAGTCGGAGACACTACGTGCCACCCCTGAGGAAACCTGCATGGAAGATACATTGGAACTAACTCTTTGAAGATAATGTTCAAGAAAACGTGCACATCCATTTTAGGAATAAAGAAGAGGAAAGAGAAAGACAAGGAATGACTCTCAACGGACACCTGCAAGCTAACAGAGGAGAGGAGAGAAGAGGAGGATGGTGAAACACAAGATGAACCAATGCAGAGATGGACAACAAAACGATAAGCCTAGCTCAATGGATATCAAACTGAATGAAGAAGTGAAGGAGAGTGCTAGGAAAGACAAAAGACAATTCTACGACACACCGGAAGGCAATTGAAGCAGAACAGGTAAGCTGCAAGCAGAAGACACCTCAGGACATTATATCAGATAATCAAGTCTATCGCTATCCACGAAGAGACCAACCAAAATGATGACGCCCATAAAAGATGTTCAAGAGGACCTGATTACCAAGGCGGAGAAACAAAACACACAATGGGCTGATCACTTTAAAGGACTCTTGAAACGACCATCACCTGCAACTCGCCCAGAAATACCATCAACGCCAACAGCACGCACGGAACTGCTTACCAGTGGATGCCAATCCTTCAATGAAAGCAGAAATCCTAAATGCGACCAGGCTATTGAAGTCTAGCCGGGAAGCAATAAAAATGGATCCAGAGACTGCGGCAGATGTCCTCACCCCATTACTGTATAAGATTTGGAAAGATGCGAAGGTTTCTATGGATTGGAAGAAAGGTTGGCTACCTCGTCAAGCTGTCAAAGAAGGGCGACTTAGGCCTTTGCAAGAACTGGTGTGGAATAATGCTCTTGTCCACGCTAAGGGAAATGCTAAGTCATATCATCCTGGACAGAATAAAGGGTTCACTGGATATCGAACTCTACTAACCAGGAACAAGCTGGATTTAGGAAAGGCGAATCATGTGCTGATCAAATCGCAACTCTACGCTTCGTCGTCGAACAGACAGCGTATAGAATGGCAGTCAAACCTCTACCTCAACCTACTTCATCGACTCCAAAAGGCCTTCGACAGACAGCGTTGACCCCGAAGCAATTTGGAAACTCCCTAAACACTATAGCGGGCAGTTCCCAAGTATTTATCAACCTAATTCAACAACTGGCTAGATGACAATGTCACGTGTTAGGTGATCCACAAAGGAAGACTCAGGGAGGCGTTCGAAGTGCATACAGGAGTAGGACAAGGCTGTCTATTATCACCAATGATATTCTAAATTGTGGTGGACTGGGTTATGCGTCGGACTTTGGGTAGCGAGGAGACAGGAATACGCCGGACCACAGATAAGAAGACTCTAGAAGATCTAAATTTCGCAGGTGATTTATGTTTAATTTTACACAAACTCGAAGACTTGCAGGCGAAAACTAACGAACTGGCAGAAGAGGCAGCAAAAACAAGAATACAAGTGAACACAGAAGAAATGGAGGTAACGAAGACAACCTACCAACAACAGCAACAATAACAACAACCAGTACCAATCAACATCAACGGGAAAAATTAGAAGGAGGTCACTCCCTTCACTCATCTTGCTAGGCACCATCATTCTCACTACAGGCGGCAACGATGGGGACGTCAAAATTAGAATCGGAAAGCAAACGCAGACATTCATCACTCTCAAACCAGTTCGGAAATCTCTGACATTCAGCATAAACAATAAAATTTGGATTTTCAACGCCAATGTTGAGTCAGTAACTTCTATATGCGTCTGAAACTTGGTGCGTCACGAAAAGCATTTCCAACAAGCTACTGCAGACTTTTATCATCCGCTGACTTTGATGACACCATACTGAGGATCAAATAACCAGTAAGAATTCGCAACAAGAAACTCTGGGAACAAACCAACCAAGAACATACTGCTCAACAAAATATCTCGAAGAAAGTGGAGATGGATCGGACACACGTTGAGGCAACCGTCGAATGACGTCGCACATTTCAGTCAAACTCCAATGGTAAACGAAGAGTGGGATGTCCGAGCTATATTGACTCCTTGTGTAAAGATAGATAGTGAGGTGGTAGAGCGTGTTGACCAATTCACTTGTTTGGGGAGTTGCATCAACCAACGCCAGCGAGTTGATAGCTGACGAAATCTCTGCATGGATATAGAAGGCTCGTGTGGTATTTGCCTGCCAACTTACACCATCTCTGGCTTAGTAAACGTGATATCCAGCTGGCTGTCAACCAATGAGCGTGTATACAGCTCATGAATTCGCTCCGTCCTACTTTACGACTGGCTGTGAGCAAGACATGGCCACTGAAAGTGGAAGACATGAAAAGGTCGGCTAGCTGTCTTTCATCATAGACATCTGCATCCTATGTCCCGTGTTAGGTGTAATAGGGTGAATAATATTGAGGTTAGGCATTGGTCGAGTGAGTGCTAGGTGAGGAGAGAAAATCAATCGATGAGGTTGTGAAGTTACATCGACTGAGATTGTTGGGAATTATGTTACGCATGACTGCCTAGACATCCATCGCCTGCCTCGACAATGGGCAGTGTTAGCTGACTGACACAGGATGGATCAAGTCGGAAAGAGCTAGTGGTGGTCAAGCCAAAATATGACTTCACAAGTCAACGAAATCCACAACATTTAGTTTAAGCCACGTAGGGAGATGTAGGTAACTTCATGGTTGGTGTCCTTCAGATGGTAAAAACAAGTGGCTGGGGACAATCAGTGATATGGTTCAAAATCGTTCTGTGGCGCTGGTGCAGATGCACTCATTCTTTATGATTTATCATGTCCAATAAAACTCTACTTTTCTTCTGTATTACTATTCTTTTTGCACCACACTTCGATTTATTATCTCACTTTTGAATCTCCCTTTATTCTCTTCTCTTGCTTTGTGTGGTACGTGGAGTTTGGCAAATCGAACTGCTGCACATCTATGCAAAGTTCTACGTTGAAATCAGTCAGTCGTTCAGGGGCGTCCGAGGATGATATGGAGAAGATTGTCAGAGGAGATGAGATGATCAGCTCATCGTTGCGTTCATATTCCATACTGAATTGAATGTTTGGGTGGATCATACTAAGACGGTCAAATAATACAGATGCCTCATTCATTTCGTTACAAACAACAAATGTATCATCGACATATCGACTTCTGTCCTAAAGCTATAAGGCTGGATTAGTAGGGACAGAGCCAGGAAGTTATGTTCGCCCAACAAGATGGAAGAAGAATCAAGTCGTGTTAAAAATGCCTAAGGGGAATTGGGTAACAAACAGGATTTATCCAAAAGTACAACAAAGAAGACGACGAGAAAACCAAGCATCCAACTGTTGGAAAGTGATCATCTGTCTCCCATTCAGAGGAAATGCGGTATCACAAAACATTGACAAGACAATGAAAGGAGCAATAAAAAATGCTTCCCTGTGCCTAAGCTCGTAACGCCACACAGTACAGCACCGCGTGCTCCATAAGCAAGTCTAGACTGGATAAAAGCCCTACTGATTTCACCTCCAACTGCGTCTATAAATTTACGTGCATTTCCGGGAGCAAGGACACTGTAGGGACGAAAGAATGGCTTCCATCCGGCTTTCAGAGCGTAACTTAAGAAACTTATGAATTAAAGGACGCAGATATTCGCAAAGTGCAACTAACAGACACCTTGTGGACACGGGCCATTTCGTCAACATTTCTAAGTCCTTCAAAATATTAAACGTACAAATGACGGAAAATTCAATACTATTTGATGAAACAATTGCAATCAAGCGTTTCAAACCAAACTTATACATACAGAAAGAGGGTGTAATCAATCTCTCACTACCTTCGTAACTGCATTTTGATTACATTGATTAGTCATCCATATTAGTGATTTCAACTCACTGAGCAAGTTCTCAATTTTATGAACAATAACCTTCTTGAGTTGCTGTGCAAACCTACATGCTAAAACTGTTTATTAGATTTTTCTGTTTTCTATCTTCTCCTCCACCCCCACCCCACCTGCTTTTCTATTTTTAAAGCATATTAACTGACGGTAACTTAAACCAAAAATTGCAGTGCTTAAATTTCAGATGCGTTGATTTTATGATGATTTCTTTACCACTATTCAAACATTGAATTGTTATTGCCATTATCTATAGGCACTTTAATTTCAGGTAGTCTGCAGATGATGAGAACCTGTGAAATAGAATGATATCAATTTTAGCTGTGAATTCGCTCTTTCTCTCATTATTGAGACACACTTCTCACTCGTCTGCGGCTTTTTAAAAGAAGCCACCTACAAATCTCAAGTCACATGGCAACAGGATATTCTATTTTAAAAATAAATTTTATTCCAATGGTGCTTAGAAATTGAGAGATGAAAGCTTACCTCCTTTCCGTAGTACGTCAGAAGCTCCTGAAATTTCGGAATATCCTAAATGTTAGTTGACTCAACGGAACATTGGCTTACTTTGCATGCTCTGTAGTATATCTTCCCCCTATATTGAACTGTCACGAGGTTTTGCTCCTCATCGAATCTGGCGCAATTAACGAACTATAGTAAACAAAAACAATGGGAGAAAGTGTTGCAGTAAAAGCTTCTTGTATTTTGTATAATGGGCTGACGTTTTTTCACAGCACAGCATAAATAATTACTAACTTTCAATAACACATTCTGCTTATTTTAGCCTCGATGCAACACTATCTTAATGTGTTTAAGAAACCAGCGTTTCTGACAGTACGCCTAGGTAGTTTATGTAGCATTTTCCCTATTATTATAACTGTCATCAATGCAAGTTGTGGTACATTATAGTCTCCCGCACAACAAAGACTCAGTTAGCATTCCTGTCAGGAGATTCCACTTACTTATCTGTGCTTAATACTCAACATCATATAACATAATTGAATCATGAAATAAGCAAGTATTAGAAAGTGCATACATTGTAGTCAGAATATATTAACCCTAACATTGGTGGGATTCTGACACCTTAATCTTAGTTGAAGGACAATTAACAATTGAGGAGTTAACTGCCACCTCCCCACACCACCATGGATTATATGCATACATTTATTACTATGAAATTTACACATGCAGTTGGACTTCATTGCAATTGGTGAAGCAATGAGGTAACAATAGGAATGAAACGAGAAAACAAATCAAGTGTGTATGTAAAGTAAAATTACTTTCTTATCAATGCATATTATTGCCCAGAAACACAGATAAACACTTAAAAGGAGATTCTGTCATATTGAATACTGTGTGAGATACTGTTCTTTTCGCGATACACTAACACCTGCATCTACACCTGACCTACATTCAACTCATCACAACAAGCAGTTCAAAAGAAATCCTACGTTTGGGAAATATGCACAGAATAGTGTGTTGATGTAGCATTCACAACACTGTCGCTACATCTTCACACGAATAAGGTCAAGAGTTAAGACAAGGGTGACAATTTCGTAACATATTTTCACTGAAACACGAACTGTTATATTTCAAGAAGACTAACATCACTGTTGGAACCATGTGTTTCCAAACCGGCAAGTAAAAATTATATATATAAATATATATAAACAACTGATACAAAAAGGTACCACGGAACTAATGACGCTGCAACATTCCGCCCAGTATGAGTGCCTCAACGTGGTGAAGTTTGATGGGCTGGTCATCTAATTAAAACATAGGGAACCAATACTTGTACAACTTGTACTTAAATTATGAATGACAAACCATCGACCTACTCAGTCATTACACACACGTATTTAAGCCAGGAACCATTTCAGCTCTATGGTCGCAATGATGGGACCCAGCATAAAATAGTATATTGTCCTTTCTCACAAATCGAGTGGTTTATCTTGTGATGGAGTTACTATGTTAATCTATCATTTCTCACCAGTATTGTGATTTACTGTGTGATCAATTCATCATCCTCTGTCTCGCCTTAAGCTTTGTCGGGCCGTCAACTGATCAGGATTGACATTTCCAGCCAATAGGAATAATTCATTCTCGCGGCGATGTATAGCATATGATGTTTTGTTTCCTAACAAATGTAGAATACAATATCTTAGAGTCACAGGCCAGCCTTTGTCTTTTGATATTTGCATGACTCAGTGAATCGGAAGGTACAACGGACGAATAGGCGTATTAGCGTACCAGTCGAGTTCATTACCGTTATAAAAATATTAACAAGCGCAGACATAACAATTTGGCGACGGGTTTATTCGGTCCAGTGCAGCTATAAAACACAGTATTTCATTAAGCATGGCAACCAAAAAGCTTCAGAATCATCGTAGAGAACAATGGGACGACGACTACTAAAAAGTCATACCTTCTATTCCATCAAAAGAATAATTAAGGTTTTGTGGGGTAAAATCTAACAAATAATTGTCCAATAAGGAATACATGAAATCACACACAAGATTTACAAACAGCTGACAAAAATTTCAGACACAACCTCTAACCAAATCAACTGCATGTAAATACTCTGATTAGTCTAAAGAAAAGCCCAACATAATTCAACAGTAGATACGAGCATTAAATTAATTCTGTGACAAGAATATAAAGTCTAACCAAAACTAATTACAAAACTTACTCTTAACCAGTTAGAATTCAAACAGTTTCGAGCGTCAATCAAGTGTGGCCTGACACCATCTACATTTGCTCTTACAAGCCATGCATACCCTCCGCGTGATCTCTGAAATTGATGAAGCAATTGGATTCTTATGCAGTGCTTGAAACGAAACATTCATAGTAAAGTAAGGTTATAAAATCACTTTGTGTGTAGGCGAAAATGTCACAGAGATTTGGGTAGTACAAATTCAGAGACTTACTTTGAGTTGCTCATCACTACTCATTTCATCCACATAAGCAACCTGTCCACCATATGGACCGAAGATTGTACCGCACTCTATCTTTGCATTGGCAAAAGCGCCAAGGCCCGCACCAGGAATTCGGGATCTCAAAATCTTGATCCATTCTCCAGGTGCAGTTTTCGCCGTGTGCTCATAATACGACTGTCCGCATACACACTTGGTTTTCTGGTGGAAAGCAAACTTATCCTCTGCTTCTTTGCAAACAAACAAAGGTAAGTTTTCAATCCATCGGACAGGATGCTCGAAACAGCCATCCATCACTGAGCGTTTGCATGTGTAGCAATCTGAATAATACAAAGGGTTGAAGTAAAAATCAGAACAATTCCTATAGAAGGTTTTTAATTGGTTACTAAATTCTACAACAAATTGTATTCTCATGATGACACTTACTTTTAAGAGTAAGGACTTAGTGTTAATAACTATTTGAAGAAACAACAATGACACTAAGTCACTTTTTGAAATCACCACAGACAACGCGACATAATTTCATACAGGCCTCTATGAGAAATAAATTCTGCATTTCAGTGTTTCCACACCAATGGAATGCTTCAAGTACAACTGCTCTCTGTTTGCGTTTAACTTCAGTCGACTGAAACATAGTTAGTCGAATACCATCTTTTCCTTATTTCTACCTTCTCATAAACGTCTCGAGGACTGTGGTACACCTCAAGCATGGATTTAGTTCATACTTATTTACGAGTTACTCAGATGCAGGATAAACTACGCATTCATTTTTAATTTCTACTGATAAAACATGCCATAAAATGTAGTTGAAACGTTCACTATGGAGCCATCAGCTTGATACATCTGACTGAAAGCCTTAAAAGATAACAGTGATAATCACAATCCAAAAGTACTTCAAAACTAACAGTCTTTTATTAAAATAAGAGCTGTTTAAACATCTGCTAACCACCTAAGTGTGCAAACACAAAAAATTAAATCCTGATGTAGTATAACAAGTAAACCTACTTTAAACTATACGAAACTTACACAGGTACCTATCATCTTCGGGGATCTTTATATCTGCAGCGTAGTTTGGCCGTTCTATGTTTCTCTTCGGATAACGACTGCCTATAAATCGGTTACCTTTATTATTTTCACTTATCACCTTCAGAATCGGTAAGCTCCATCAATCTAAGAGTTCCGGAGTGGGCTTCTGTTTCACCTGAGATTTCCCCAGTTGTCCCGCTACATCCACTTCGTAACTCAGGTGCCCACTCATCACCACTGCTTAGGCAGTCACTACCACTATCTGAAGATAGTTCGGACCTTCTTCTCCTTCTTTTTGGCTATTTAAATAATGAAAAATCATTTTGAAATCTGCATACCTTTGAGCTGTGTGGTGGGACTACAGGCTTTGTTGGTTTTCGCTTCGTCAACCTTCTTTCCGTTGGCTTTGTACGTGTGCATGAGGCAGACACCTTCGGCTAATTCATCAGAAAATTCAAAAGAATTATATCACATTTGTCAAAACAAAGCAAAAACTAAGGACAAAATGTTACAAGAACAGTTGAAATGAATGCTCCACTTTAAATGCATTTTCATATCACATTATTAATTAATTTCCTAAATGCACTTTCCTCCACATGGAAGGAGGTAGGAGGCAATTCCGTCAACATGATGTGCACTCCATTCACTTTCAGGTAGCTGTTAACACTACTTAGTACCATTCACACGTCACCATGAATTTAAAAAACTAACGTTGTAATTTACGAGATAATGAATTTTATTTACTCTCTCCTCTTTGCGTGGTTCTCTAACTTCCGTCCTTAGTGCAGGACAAGTATTGAGCGGACTATGATCATATTATTCAGCCTACGAATAAACTGGCTTTCAACTGAAGTGCATCAGTTCAACCCGCCAAAAACCACCTAGAATATGAAGGATCAGCAAAAAAAACTATAACGTACAGAAATATACGAAAGAATAGTAACATGGAGAAACGTGAGATTGAATGGGAATGAAAGGTCTCAAAGAGTGAATGCATCTCCAGCATTGAAAACGATTTTGAGCCATGTCACCAACAGTCTCCAGTCAATGGTTCTTAGCACTTCAACAACATCAACAAGGCCATCCATATTTTCCTATATGGGTCATTTTATGTGCATCTAGGTAATTCACTACCTTCCACAGTAAGCGAAACAAATACCTCCAAGAGCCCTAACTGACTGAGTTTAGAAATACAAACAAGTAAACCATAACTTAATTTACGGGAACATCTTTTATTTACAGGGTTATCAGCCACACTAATTGTGCGTATGTCTGAGTGATATTATCCAGTAGTAGCCTAAGCTGAACTAAATGGGACGTGACTCCTGTTGCCCATCAAAAGACGTATGCACTACAGAAAAGTTAACTGCATGTTTAGATACGAAGACTTGAAGAGGCTGGCCATCTTCAGCCATGTGTGTCCTAGACAGTAAAACAATGCGAGCAATGACGAGGTTAGCCACACAATATTAGGCATTAACACTAATATAATAACAATAAGGAGGGTAAGTGAATCAATGAGGCTATAAAGTTGCATCGATTGAAGTGGTCTGGACATGTGTTACGTATGCTGGGCTATCGTCTTCCTCATTGAGCAACGTTAGCTAAAGAGGGTGGGCTGGGAAAGAGTTGAGAGCACTGACACCAACTAGTGGATCTTATCTTCAAATGGTACCACAGACAGAGGGGATCTAGTTACAATGTTTAGAACGTTGAGAAATGACTATGGGCCTGATTTCTCTTCTCTTTGCCCTCCCACCTAGTGGAGATATCTAAGAGGATATAGCAGAGACGTTCAACAACTAGGAACGAAATATGTTGGTGTGGAATACCGTTTCTCCCACCGAGACACTAACACTCACAACAGACTACGTCTGTGGACACCTTTAGGCGAAGGCTGGACAATCATGCAGCGACACACGAACTGCGTTCAAATGGCCTATCCCCCCACTAAAATCCCATACACCATTCGGGGTAGACAATTAAGTTCGTCGTTTTTCTTCTTTACATCCTCCCGTATTAATCTCCTGACAACTCTAACTACACTTACTATTGCTATTACTGATATATATATATCAACTTCAAATTTAATTAGCTATCTGTTTCTATGTTTTCTTTATTTCTTTTTCGGTCTCTTAGTCTGAATAATCTACACTAATTACATCTGTCATTATTTTTATTATCCCTTTTCTTTTGTCGACGACACCGGAGGAATAACTGGTCAAAGGATCAACTCTATTCACAGTAGTAACCGTCTTAACACACCTCATACAACAAACCACATATAATTAATCCTTTTGGAGTCAACCAAAGGCACGACATTCGATCGACCGGATGAGCCAAGCAGAATTTTACCGAAGATCAGGAACCTACACCTCACAATCAAGAGGCGAGCACAAAGAAATCAAATTGGTTTATACTAGCTAGTAAAAACGATACTGGATATATTGGACTCCCAAAAGAAGTGATGACTCAGTGAGTAGACAAGTGGTAAACACTAATGCTTTGTGGGAAAGCGTTAAAACAGGCCTGTATATCCATACACTTTATTACAACCCTTAATCCAAACAGATAGCTTGCGGCTTTCATGTCTTTAAGAATTGTAGAAAGAGTGCTCAAGTGAAATCCAAAACAAGCGTTTCGTAAATCACTCAGAATAACACCATAATACACGTACAAAACATCGTTAGAGAATAATCAATGACATAACATTATCGAAGTGTGTGTGAGTCATTATATACAGAGTAGGGATATGCATGTATGACACACGACTAACTAGCCTAAGCTAGCTGCTTAGCTGTCAAAACCACTGGGCATACTTTGACAAGTTCAGACACAAGATGCAAGGGAAGCTTATGCGCGTTCACAATTCAACTACACACTCTAGACAAATCTGTGTGATTAAAAACGGAACACTCATCACCGATACGATCGTATTATGAGATCGATCGAAACTATCATGTTTCTCTTACCTTCTTGATACCATACATTTCTTTGACCTTATCAGCATCTGCAGGTGATATTTCTAAAAGCAAGATGAAAACAGTTGAAATCAACACAAACTGGTGAATTTTTCCAGCAGTTCTAGGTTCTCCAAAATGCGTTGTCTACGCAAATCCTCCATTTCAAAGTTTGGCGGAAGTGCAAGAAGCCACAACCGAAACTGAATAATGACAACTTAAACAATATTCAATATCCAGTGTTGTGTAATGAACTTCAACATACAATACCCTGTACACCATCTACTGCAAACCACATTATCTCTTTAGGCTGACTTCAAGGTTTGAGTTGGAAACCGCTGTTCTTTAGTAAGCTTCAATGAACATTTCCCACCACCCACCTAACTTAAATTAGCTTGATTCCAAAGGGAGTGGTGCGAGGATAACGGATCTGACGGTGAAATTATGAGCTCTTATGTTGAGGTTTTGACAGAATAATGGCGTTTCCCTCGAACAGTCATCAACCAGCTACATTGCCTCTCTTCTCCTAGAGGGAAGGATAGAATACATTAGCTTCAAAAAGTATACACACTGACTTAACTTGAAGGGGTATATTGTCGTCAGAGAGAACTGAACACCAACAAAACTCTAAAAACCAGGTGAAATCCGCCTCACACATTTATGCCCTGAATTCTGGCGTCCCCTAACACTGATGCTCATTCTCCTTCAGATGTTCCAAGAAGAAACCAACCTCCACAGTGGGAGCAATCAGAAATTATTAACCATATAACATATTACGCAGGATGTTAAAGGTTGTCAGCAGGGTAAGCAACGTGCCACTTAACCAGCTTGTTAATATTCTGGTCGACAGGCACATGGACTCATGTGAAAAGTGGGCTAACTCACACCACCCTCTTCATTCACAACTCTCCCCTTGCATCTCATCAGGCAAAACCAGAAGCCTATATAGAAAACTATATGCTCGCACCAGCAAGTACAAAAACTCAACCATACCCTACTTAGCTCGTGTTCTGTGCGATAAAGAAAGCATTA